TATGTTGTCCAGGCTGGTCTTGAAATCCTGGCCTCAAGCAATCCTCCCATTTCAGCCACCATAAGTGCTAGGATTGCAGGTGTCAGCCACTGTGCCCAGCCTCCTTATGTATATATTTATCACAACTGTTCTATAAATTATTTGTATAATTGATAACACAATAAAATCCCTAGTAGTCACTCAACTATGGCCAAAGTGTCTGCTGAGTCTTAGAATAACAGTATAATAGCAATACAACAACACTAGTAGATAACATTCAGTTAATGTTTATTTTGTGCTAGGCTCTGTGTACATTTAATTTAATCTTCAGAATAATTCCATTGAATATAAGTATTTTTATCATAAATGAGAAAATTGATGCTCTGATTTTGCAGCCAGCAGAGGTGGAATTAGGAATTGTACCCAAACAATCTCAACCTCAGAACCACAACTTTTAACCAGTATGTTATACTACACCCAGAAAGACCTTAACCTTGATATTTCCCTTGTTTTTATTTCTCTGTTTGTGCTGTCAGAGTAGATGGGTTTACCAGGAAAATTTTAGAATTCACCAGACCTATTGGAAGAACTTCAGACTTAGGGATGCCTTGAGATTGTGCCATATCAAAGCAAGCTCCTGAGAGTCATTCCAGTTTAAAGTCACATCCTAGAGCTTCCCAGGAGCTGTCATACAGGCGTAGGAAACCATCAGTCAGTCACCTGAACATCTGTAACACCAAACAGCCATTTCAAGAGGCAGAGCTTTGCCCGGCGCATTTTAGGCCATCTCTTGGGAACATAAGGTCACCCCGCTGGTTCAGAAAGTTGAAAACAAGCTCTTAGTTAAGTGATGGATGTGGCATCATTGCACAAGATGTTCCCTGAGTAATGTTTTCCTGTTCTTGGATCTTAAAAGGAAATTAAGCAGAAAGAAAAATTCTGGGACTAAGGCTAGCCAGTGATCTGTATATTTACTATATTCATGCAGAATAGCAAAAATTTCAGGTGCATTGAAGCTATCCCAGAGCCATAAACTGAAAAACTCCTGCAGTGACTGTAATAGGTGAGCCTAAGAAGAAAAGGAAGGGTAAACAAGAGTGAGAATTGGGAGGGAGGAAGCAAGGAAGGAGGGAAGGAAGGAAGCAAGGAAGGAAGCAAGGAAGGAAGAAAGGAAGAAAGGGAGGGAGGGAGGGAGGGAGGAAGGAAGGAAGGAAGGAAGGAAGGAAGGAAGGAAGGAAGGAAGGAAGGAAGGAAGGAAATAGTTAATTGAAAATCTTAGAAAATTAAAATTCCATAATGCCATTATAGGCTGAATTTGTATTTTGCTAATTCTCACATGAGTTCAAAATTTTGTACAGTTCTGAAATACTCCTGGGAAGCATATTATGAAAAGTTGACCAATGTGATGAGGTACACTATCAGATAATATATGTGACCTGTTTTTTTGAGATATTTTAATGACTGATATGAATCTGTTTAATGCATTTATAGAATCTTTGTAAATCTGATTTAGACATATGTGAACTAAATTTTTATTTTTACATGTTCCCACTTATAGAGAACTGTATTTTTCTTAGAACTGAATAAATTTTTTGTGGGTATGTGTGTTTTCTATATTCAGTCTCTCTCCCATTATAATTTTATTTGCTATATATTTGTGCACTGACTCACGTTCAGTACAGAAACAGGTGTATTTCTGATATATATGTACACTCATGTGTCACTTAACTACAGAGATACATTTGAAGTAGTGTGTCATTAGGTAATTTCCTCATTGTACAAACAAAGTATACAGTATGCTCAAACAAATGTAGCTGGCGTAGCCTACCACTCACCTACGCTATTGGGTATAGCCTATTGCTCTTAAGCTACAAACCTGTATAGCATGTCCTGTACTGAATACTATAGGTAATTGCAACCCAAAGGTAGGTAGCTGCGTACCTAAACATATATAAACACAGAAAAGGTATAGTGAAAATACAGCACTATAATCTTATGGGACCACTGTCATACATTCGGTCCATAGTTGACCAAAATGTAACTATGAAGCACATGACTGTAAGTGAAAGTTTGTATGTTAAATTATATTTGTAATAAAATAGAAGCACTTATTACTTAATGAAATTCAATCTTTGTATATTTATAAAGTGAAAACGCCCCCTTTATGTATCCTGTTACATAATAGATATTTAAAATCATTTGCTTAATTAGTTAATATAGTATAAGTTCATCCTAATGTTCAACTGACAGAAAATAACTAGCCATTGTCTAAGTTTAATACCCCCTCTGATATATAAATTACTGAGTCTTCCCTTTTCATGAACAAACAATTAAGATGCCTATTATGACAGATATAGAGAGTTTGTAGATGAGGGTTTTAATTATTATGAGAAAATATAGGTGTTGTTTCAAGGAATTATTAATACACAATTTCACATTTAAAATTTTTATTAATAAATATTAAATGTTACTTTTGAATGCTAATGATTGTTTTTAAAGTTAAATATCGAACATCTAAGAGAACTCAGTAAATAATCGAGAACAATGAGAGACAGTGTGAGAAACGAGGTAAAGGGAAGGCAGAAGCAAGTTCACAGGAGGACTCCTAACCACAGTTGGGCTATCAAGCTTTAACCTAAGTATAAGAAGGTCACTGAATGCTTGCTGATGTTTAAGTCACAGTTATTGGGGTATAATGTACCTCATGTACAGAAGCTCTTCACAGGCTACAATATACGTGCACAATTGTTAAAGGAAGGCACTTTATGAAATGTGTTTAATTTGCTATTTTTATTTCTAGGGGGACACAGTTCATTCTACACGATTGGAACCCATTCATACATGTATGTGTGAAAGTGTGTGTGTGTATGTGTGTGTGTGTGTCTGTGTCTGTGTAAGAGACATACATGCATATACATCACATCATACATGAATGTATTAAAATTCACTCTGCATGTAAAACTGATGACTATAGACAAATGTATAAAGATGTGCAACTATTACAATCAAGAAATAGATCATTCACCTCACAGCAAAAAGTTCTCTTGCATCCACCACCCCCTAGCAACTACTGGTCTGATTTTGTCACTACAGTTTTTTCAAAATGTCATATAAATGAAATAATGTAGCTTTTATGTCTTGCGTTTCTTGTTTAGCATAATGCCTTTCAGACTCACTGATGCTCTGGTATGTATCATCTCATGATCACTGAAAGAATTCTATTGTGAGAATTACTATGATGTTTATTCATTCACTAGTTGATGAATATTTGGATTATTTTCAGTTCGAGCAATTATAAAGCCTTGAAAGCCTTTTAAAGAGGGAGATACATAATTTGACTTACACTTAAAAAAAATCTGGCTCCTGTGTGAAGAATGAAATTTAGGGCATTTAAAGTGGGAGGCTAGAGGCAGGCAAGTCAGCATGCAGGCCAAGTGTCAGAAGATGGTAGCTGGTACAAGCGGAGATATGGAGAAGTCAATAGAATTAAAATAGTTATTTTAAAAGCAAAATGTAGAGCACCTGAACTAATAAAGAAGTAGGAATAAATCACAGATGCCTGGAGCAACTAGATTATTGTTCACCTCTTTGCTGCCAGTTATCTCTCCCCATATCAATTTAGTATAAACACACCATGGGTATCAGTTAGTGAAACTAAATTTGGGACATCAAAAATTTTAAAACATAGAGTTTTCTATGAAATCTACAATATATCATTCAGTCCCATAAAAACAAATCTTTCATGACAGGTAACTTCTAGAGCTTTATAGTAAGTCTCCACAATACTATCTTTTGACAAAATACAATATAATTTCCCTTCAGAGTTACACTTGGAACACTAAGATCAGATCAGATAATTTGGGGAGTTTAAAATCACATCACATTCACATTTTGGTCTATATATCAATTTAACAAAAATATTAGAACTGTGAGAGACCTGCTTTCACTGGGATATCTGAAGAAGCACACGATTCTGTGAGAGATTATTTCAGGGGTGGCCTTAATTCCATAGAATGAAGTGTTCTCCCCAGAATAAAGTAAGAGAAAGAGAATAAACACATTTTCATAAAACACCTCTTTTTAACTCTGAGAAGTGTAGACTTGTACCATACAGTATATAAGGAGCTTCTACCAAAAATCATCTACTCTTAATTAATAGAAATTGTGGACTATTTTTTTAACCTGGTACTCAGTAAATTACTGTGTAATTACTGAAGTTGAAGCTATTACATAATTACATTCTTGTTTTTTCTAATATCTGAAATACAAAATCATATAACAGCAATATTTTGTATTCAAGTCACCTACATTTATATCTAGGCCATTTCTTCACTTCAAGCTGCATAGAATCAAATATGTGTAAACTTTACGAAGCATTTGGAGTATGTTTTACTTTCTTTGTACCAGTAGACATATAACCATAAAACAAATTACCAGCAGTGGGGACAGGCCTTCACCTCCACCATTCCATAGGAAGATAAAAATACACTTTTGCTTGATTTTGAAGATCAAGTTTTGTAATCAAAATAAAACTCTACAGATCTTTTAAAATAAAAATAATAACAGCTATTTATTTGTTGTTTTCCCCTGTTATTGATGCTGTTTTTTTAAATTGGAAGAAAGTAAAAATCTTAGGAGCACCTATGCTATGTATCGCCTTAGTGACAAAATTGCTTTGTTAAATTTTGTTTGTTTTTTTTTTAACAAACACTTAGTAGGTGTCTACATTGCATCAATGAAGCCACAGAGATGATAAAAAAAAATGGCCCTTGTCCTCCAAAGTCCATTTTGAAGAGAAGCATAATAGTGAGTATTATTCAGCTCAAAGCTGACAGTATCAAATAACTATGCAAATATTTACGCATATAACATACATACACATATACCCATCCCAACCTTTGGCAAAACACACATTCCTGGCACTTCACACCCATTCCTCACCAAACGTTCAAAAGAATATCCCACTGCCATATAACAGCACACACATTAGGTATATAAAGTAGCCATTTTATAAATTTTTAATTTGAAATTTTATTTTTATTATATGTAATAAACTGGATATAACTTAGCACACATAATATTATGACAATCTATGACAAGGTTAGTGACCAGGCAGTTTTTTATTCTGAGTTTCAATTACACATTTATGAAGTGGGTCAATAAACATCTACCTGATAGGGCGGTTGTCAGGATTTGATAGAACGATGTGAGTAGTGGCCAATAGCTAAGACTGGAGAAAGCTGGAAAAATGGTAGATATTTCCAACAGCAGCAGTAGTGTTGTCATTGCTAATCAATTTAGCTACAATGTTTTCTATGAGCAATAAGCACAAGTCAGCTAGCTGATTTGCTGGACTTTGGAATTCAGCTCTGCCACTTAAAGACAGTATTTTTCTCTTAGAACATCAACGTGTAAGTGAAAATTTCCCATGTAATCAGGTCAGAACATAGTAACTGAAATATAGGAAAATCCTCACTATCACACACTTCTCTCAAAACAAATCTGATTCGCTTGGAAATAAAAAGACGTTAAAGGAAAAACACTGTCAAGGAGCAAAATCTAGAAATAAATACATACTTGTGTATAACTGATGCCAATGTGATGTGGGATGCATTATAACAAAAATATGTATAAATTATTATTACAGAAGAAGTAACAATTTTTGAAGAAAATGTTTAGAAAGGACTCTGGAGGGATTTATATCCGAACCTTTGTAATAAATCATTTTATAATATCAGGCTGTTGTGTTGTCTATGTTATATTTGGGAAAACAATAATATCAACAGCCTTTACATATAGGCCCCTACATCTGTGCATAGACTTTTCAAGACGCTAGATGCCTTCCATCTCCAATGACAAAGAGCATTTTTCTTTCATTTTATGCTAAACATCATGCAAGGCATTGCAAACACAAATGCATATTAAGAAATAAATGCTTACATAAATGCAGGTAGCATATACATTATTGATACATGCACATGAAAACTTTCTCAGAGAAGCCTTTCTGTCTAAATAATCCAGTTGCAACTTTCCTCCATACTCTAACTAGCTCACATTATGTTCTTCATAGAATTTAACATTCACTGAAATTCGTTCTTTCCTTTCTCTTTCTTTCTTTCTTTCATTCTTTCTTTCTTTCTTTCTTTCTTTCTTTCTTTCCTTCCTTCTTTCTTTCTTTCTTTCGTTTTTCCTTCTTTCTTTCTTTTTTCTGCCTCCCCAGTTAAAATGTAATCATCAGGAAGGCAGGAATTTTCCATGCTTCCTATCTGTGCCCTCAGTGCTAAGAATTCTTCCTGGCATGCTCACTTGGTGCCCATGACTTTTGTATTAGGTGAATAAGTAATGAATGCACAAAGAAATATATATGGGTGTTAGTCTCATATGCCTATATGCACCAGTTCTATTCTTTACAGCTACTAAAATTTTAAATTGACTAGATTTCCAGAAAGCTTGTGATTTTGATTGCCAAATATTAATGACTGAAAACATGCATAACCAAATGAGATGACACATTCTACTGAACAAACAGAAATGAATCTTGTCTTCTCTTGATCAGCACCTTCATGAGCATCTTTTCTGCCTGTAAAAAATAGTTATGTCATTAAATGTACAGCAAGTATGACAATGGCTTATGAAACAAATACCAATATGAGAATATTTCTTAAGCTCTAACTCACAACTAAATATCTGAATTTATGTTTTATTTAGGAAGGGGAATAATCCAGCTTAACTGAAATTATGATCACATATTTATCTGTATCTTAATTATACTACAATAATATCAAAGCCTATAACATGAGCAGAATTTTCATCACATCTCTAGTTTAAAAACATTTTTTCTCACCCAACCCTCAGGAAGATATTCATGAGGTAAACCTGGCAATACAAAAATAATTATTTGGAAAACGTGATATGAGGTGAGCTGTTGCTTCTCTACTGGATGCCAGTTTAAATTGAGCTAATTTGTTTTACCAGTAGCTTAAGAAAACCCCAGCACAGCGGCACAACAATTATATCCAGGTGCAAGGACTTAATTCCACAAATTCTAGGTGGATCCTTCCAGTCAGCACGGTGGGCCCCATTCTCAGCTGTGGCTAAGAACAGATGCCTTGAAAAGCCTCTGTAAACGTGATCCAGTCAGTCGTTGAATAGAGATATTGAAATATTTCCAAAACAAAATAATGAATGTGATATTCTTACCATCACAATTCCAATATACACATCCATGAGGGAAAAAGGCATAGTAGGAATTATTTTAAATTAGTGAGCAAAATAAGGAAAGTAATTTATTCCTTTGAATTTTTTAACGTACCAGGTATACGTACACATTTTAAATTTTTCAGTTGTAAATATGAACATTTCAATTGTAAATGCTCATATACATTTTAAGAGAATTTATAAAGGTATACATGTAAATAAAAACTATTAACACAAGTGTACATGCAGCAAATGGTTTTTGAAAAACTTCACTAATGTTCCAAACAAGAAAAAAAGTAAAACATCATTTCTTAAAATATAAGCCTCTGAATGGTCAATCCACTCGCTCAAGTTAATGATGCACAGTTAAGTAGAGAAATGTGACTCTGGTGTAAGTGACCTCACTTCTTTAAAGTCATGATTTTTAAAATTAAATTAATTTAAAGTTCTTGCTTTATTTGCTTCTTAAATAACTTTCCTTAAATGGTTAAAATTATGATTTTTAAAAATTAAATAAATTTCAGGTTCTTGCTTTATTTGCTTAAGTAACGTTCCTTAAATGGTCTTGAGAAAAATGAAGAGAAACACTCCATGATTTCAGAGGTAGAAACATAAATATGTATTTTCCAGCATACTTCTAGACAATATTTTTAGAATCTGTTTTTTCACTCACTAATGAGGAAGTAAGAACTGAAAACGATTTATAACTTAATATTATTGCAAACTGCTTTTCTTGTTGCTAAAATATTTACTGGTATACAGGGATATACTGAATTTGGATGTAATTAAAATTTACTGCTAATTGTTAGTATAGCAAAACTAGCATCTAAGTGTCCTCCATATACATCTCTGTAACTTTCAGTTTGCCAATGATTCGGTCTAAATTTATTAATGGATTACTACCAGAATTATTTCAGATTGGCATTAGTATTATAAGAGATAGTTATTTTGGCTACTTGTCATTTCTTATTGTATTCCAACCAAGAATTTTCTATCAAAATCAGTCTTTTGAAGCTTAAATTTTTCTTTTAAGCTCCTAATCATTGCTCCAGTAAACTCGAGGTGCAACACTTTATTAATAATAATCTGTAAGCGTTAACAATACGAATTAGAAATATGCCAGACAATTTGAATTAAACCAGTGGATAATGCTTATTCACATGTGGTGTGAATAGTCTGGACATTTTGAAAAACATCCAAATGGGTCGCAAATAAAAAACTGTCAAAAATTTAAACCAAGTTCAGCCAGGCCTACAAGACCCATTCCCATGAACTGAAAGGAAAACTTAAATAAAAGCAGTCAGAAGTCCTGAAATATCTTAAAGCTGGATAACAGCTCTCATCTTTTGCTAGTGGGTCCTAAAAACAACAATAATAAACGTTAATAGATAGACTAAAATCTCTAGGGCAGAGATTTTTCATAATAATCTAGCAATTTATATCCTCATTAAGCCCAATTTCCTCATATATGAAAAAAAAGTAATTTGGTCATGATATTCTGCTCATAACAGTGAGATCAAAATTCCATTGTGATATCCATATCCAATTAATAAACCTTAACTCAAAGAATCAAGCCTTAATTGCTTCATTGTAAAACATTTGATTTATCTTATAAAAAGTCAATTTCTAATTTAAAGAAAAGAAGATATGTGACACTTAAAACAATTTATGAGTGACATTGGAGATAATCTAGTACAAAGCTCCCATTTCTCAGGTAAGGAAACCGAGTCCCAGAACCAGTGAGGCCAACTAATTAGTGACACAGATTTAGGTCCCAGATCTCCCACATTTCAGTCCAAAGAATGCCAATAGTACACTATGCTAATTCTCAGCTAAAGTTTATCATTTTTTTCTACATGTAAAATACATGTGCTGAAGTTATTGGTAGAATTTTTAAAAAGAGAAGTTTCAGTCTGGGCGTAGTGACTCAAGCCTGTAATCCCAGCACATTGGGAGGCTGAGGCGGGTAGATCACCTGGGGTCGGGAGTTCTAAACCAGCCTGATCCACATTGAGAAACCCCCGTCTCTACTCAAAATACAAAATTAGCTGGGCGTGGTGGCGCATGCCTGTAATCCCAGATACTCGGGAGACTGACGCAGGAGAATTCCTAGAGGAACCTCTAGGGAGGCGGAGGTTGTGGTGAGCGAAGATTGCACCAATGCACTCCAGCTTGGGCGACAGAGCAAGACTCTGTCTCAAAAAAAAAAAAAAAAAAAAAAAAAAAAAAAAAAAAAAAAAAAAAAAACAGGAATGTCAAGCTGCTCAACTTTACGAGTCAAATTGTATCATACGGAAACTTTTTGAACATCGATCATCGCCTCTACCCCAAGTTACTACCCCATAGTAGGCAGTGTTGTAGGAAGATTATGATTTATTTTGATAAACCCATCAGTTTGAACAATAAAAAGTATGAAAGTTCTTTAAAGTGATATCTCAGCATTTCTTATGCATAGATAGATAACAAAAAGGAGTTGGGGCGGGGGGTTGAATGGGGGAATGTCTTCTTAAAAAGGAGGCCAGGCACAGTGGCTCACGCCTCTAATACCAGTACTTTGGGAGGCCAAGGTGGGCAGATCATGAGTTCAGGAGTTCGTGACCAGCCTGGCCTGTATGGTGAAACCCTGTCTCTACTAAAAATACTGCTATTACCCTGGCATGGTGGTGCATGCTGGTAGTCCCTGATACTCAGAAGGCTGAGGCAGAAGAATCGCTTGAACCCAGGAGGCAGAGGTTGCAGTGAGCCGAGACTGTGCCACTGCACTCCAGCCTGGGTGACAGAACCAGACTCCATCTCAAAAGAAAAAAAAAAAAGAAGAAGAATTACTTGTTTTCTGGTCTAGAAAACCAGAAACAAGCTTCTTGAAATCACTGAAAAATTACATTGCTGATCTTAAGGTAAAAGTGTTACAAATATCTAAAAGTCATACCTAAAAGTAAACATAAACTGTGTCCTATTCTTCACACTTTTACTTTTGTATCCCATTGGACAAAAATGTAAAATATTGGAAAAATAAATTTTCTTATAAATTATATGAAACTGGTGGAAGTGATGATAAACTTGTGGAATATTGTTTCTCTGAGTTGTTAAAATGACTTTAGCATAGTTAAACAAAACAGTGTAATGTTAGCTTCCAATAACTTTATTTTTAATTTCAATTTATTTTAATATTTCACAATAGATAATTACAAGTGTAATCATTATTGGTCATTGGCCATTAATTTGTTTCAGCGTATGTACCTCAGTGGGCAGTAATTACTGCTCAGCCTTCAATAAGATATCATTAACAAAATGAGAAGACCAGACAAAATATGTTAATTACCGTAAGTGCTCCATTGGCTCCTCCCTGGAATAAACAAGTCTAACAATTAAGATCACACTTACTTTTTGCCAGACGATATTATGCAGTGCAAAAAAAAAGGCAAATGCTACATAATTTGAAGCAAGGATATTTTGGGGGTTATTATTCTTTTCCTTGTAAATTCATATCAGCAACTATAATAACCCAAAAATTGACAACAGCTCTTGCATAAAGCAGCAATCTCATTAAAAGCTCACTGTCAATAGTGAAAGAAAAAAAATTGACTACTATACCCTATATAATTAAGATAAGAAATATCTCAAAATTATAGAAATGTTTTAATATTATAAAACTATTTGTAGAGCAAGTTAAATGGATTTCCAATCAATCCATGTATAAATAGACTAGGGAATATTTTAAATGCCCCAATTAAGAAGTAACAATATGCCAAACTAAGAACATAATTGGTTTGGGTAGCCAGTGTAATACTAAGCATTTCTTAGCCTGGTATTTATGGTATATTGCTATCCTAAAAGCATAGTCAAAATATGGGTCACTACAATACTCTCCGGCTTTTAATCTTTGTGACTGCCAGTTCATCCCTCAGAACTTTCTAAGCATATTTATTCTTCCTAAGTATTTGTCTTCTACTTCATATATATATATATATAATATATATATACACATATATATGCACACATTTCCCATTGCAGTTCATTCAGGCCTTCTCTGCAACTGGGGTTGCCATGCATCTCATATCCAAACCCTGCAGCCATTCCTGCCTTTCTCTTATTGTTCTGAGCAAGGCACATCTCATTTTTCCCTTATTCTTGTGCAGTTTCAGTTCTTTCCAATTTCTCTTCCAACTGCTCCAGCTGTACCTTTTACAACCCAGCTGTTGGGAGTCCTTTAGAGACACTCTCCCCCTTCCTAAAGAAATCTTTCTGACCACTGGCAACTCTGACCACAGGTTGCTTCCAGATTTTCTGGTTCTTCTTAACATTCTCTCAGGTTAATTTAAGTTCCTCAAATCCATCTTGACCTAAGCACGTCAAGTCTACTGGGGCTTCACTGTGATCAGT